GACCTCCCTTTACCACTGACCCCCCCCCCCCTCTCTTTCTCCCTCTCAACCCCCCCCCTCTCCCCCTCTCAACCTCCCCCTTTCTCCCTCTCAGTTCTGTACAGTGTAGTGTGTGTGTGTTTTTCAGATCTGCACACAACAGTGTTGTGTATTATGGACCTTTTTTACAAAGCTGTGTTGTGCTTAATAACCTAGTGCTACATTTAGCTGTGTAAAGTCAAAGTAAAAAATTCTGCATCTGCAGTTAATATTTCTGTGAATATTATGTGTGTACACATCTAAACGCATGTACCTGCATGTATGCTGGGATTAAAAAATAAGATAAAGGATTATAAAAAGAATTTATTGCATGTGAATATTTTACGAACATTAAAATGTCTAAAACGCATGTTTTTTTTTTGTTTTTGTCTTTTTTTTTTTAATGCAGGATCTTTTTTGACAGCTTTTCAACAGCAAGATCCTGTGTAGATATTGGTATTTTATTATGCCCGTGTGCGTTAGCCTTAAAGCTGGCTATAGACAGATCAACGTTTGGCTGGTTCAGCAGGGACTGGACAAAATTTGATTCATCATGTGTGGTTGTTCCTGATCAACTTCTGTTGAACAGGCATGTTGGAACATTTTCCTTGAGCAGGAGCTGCAGCCACTGATCAGTGTATTCTGACAGCTGGGAAGTCCCCACTGTCAGAACACAGGGATTCATTACTAAAGCTAGAGAATGCAAAATCAGGCTCATGTCTGCATAGAAACTAATCCGTTTTTGGGGTTTTAGTGCCAAAGCTTAGTTGAAAAAGGTGAAGTTTAAAGCAGATTGGTTTCTATGCAGAACTGAGCCTGATTTTGGACTCTCCAGCTTTAATAAATAAACCCCACAGTGTCTCAGCAGGGAGGATTCCTCTACCCACCTCGGTTGTGGATTGAAGGAGGAATCTGTTCTCTGCCTGCCTAATGTATTGTGCCAAAAGGAACATTAAACCATGGTCTCGGTCTCAAGGGATATCTGCTAAATATAGAGATTTTTAGTTAAACGGTTTTGCACTATTGGAGCCCCTTTTTTTTCCTTTCTTCACCATATGGTGGGTTCCACAAGAGAGAGGAGTCAGGGCCGGAAGCCATATTAGATGGAAGTCATATACGTTCAATGCCAGTCTGTAAAAAAAAGAGAGGCACTGTTGTCTTGTGAGTCCTAGTGTGCTGGGGAGAGGTGTTTGAGCACTGGAGCACTTTCTATTCATGGTGGAGAATTAACTACTTTGGAAAGTTTACTTAAACTGTTGCAGGATGGACTACTCTTTATTTGAGCATTGGACCACTTTATATTCCTATGGCAGTATAGACTAATCATTAGTTGTCATACACCTGGTCACTTTGGTCTTCTCAGTGGTGTTTTTTTTATATAACACACATTTTATGTTCGCAGCACCTTTTTTTATTGCTATGTTGTGTTACATATTTTGGGTATATTGAATTGAAGGCTGCGTCGAGATTGCACATTTTAGTAATTTTTTTTTTTTTTTTTGGGGGGGAGGGGGGGATATTTGATGTCTGCAGCGCTGAGTTGGGTGATTATTTTATAAAATCTATCTAAGGATAAATCTAGTCCCTCCCCTATTCTAAGACTATGCTATCTAACCTTGTAGAGAAAAGACTTGTATACTTACCTACTCTGAAGCTGTTCCAGGCCTGTCACATGACCAGCTGTTAGCAGCGGCTTCAGTGCTGAGTAGGGACAGCCAACAACAGATGCACCCATAGTATGCCTATGGCTGACGTCATCTCTCAACCATTTACAGCCATTGTCATACAAGTATAAAGATCTTTTCTTTGCGGGGTTAGATAGAATAGGCTTAGAATGGGGGTAGAAGTACTTTTCGCCTTAGATTTTGACTGAGCTTCCACTTTTGGTTGGTAAAGAAGGCAAAATAAAATATCTTCCATTGTATCCTCGCAGAGGGAAAAATAATTCCTTCTCAACTCTGACAGTAGCAGCCAGATTCATTTGCTGGATCAGTCACTCCACTAATGAATCCTGCTAATTTTAAACTGGAAATGCCATTTCTAGTCGAACAGATACCTAATCAACTTTAAATTTAATGAAATGAGAGATTTCACCTGATTGGTTACAATGGGCAATTGTCCTATTTTTCCCATTGCAAACATTTATTTGTAGTCAGCCCCAGAGAATGTTTCTGTGCCAAAGCATACATTTCATGGGTATTGTGTACTTGTCTGCTTGTGGTTTGGAAAACCTGAGAAATATTGGAACAGGCCTATAATGAAAAATATATATGTCAGGATAACAGACCGCTCTCCTAAAAATATCCACTGTTTAAATCTATAAATCAAGCTTGTGTACAGCTTGCCACACCTTCATTGTTTTGATACCGTTCCATCTGCTAGAGCTGGTAAATGTTGAATGTTGAGGTATACAAATTGCTAGCTGTGCTGGAGTACAGCAGTCTATTCAGATGCACCTCATAAATACAAAGCTGTCAATCTCCTGTCAGACCTTCACTTGGTGAGTGACAGTTCAGGACTCTTCCTCCTATTTCAGACTGTGTCATCAGAAGATGCATTCTGTAAAAAATCCACATCTTTTGATTCTTTATACAGACAGAATTTCTCTTCCCTCTGTTCTGTGATATGTTGAGCTTTGCCATTTGATGGGGATGATGAAATGATTTTACTTTCCTGCCTGTGAGAACGGAGCCAACCTATGTATCGTTAGTACGGTATGTCTGCTGACCTCTCCACTTTCTCACTGCTGCCAGTGTAGTTAAAGTAAATGCATTAAATGTATTTTTAAATTATGACTTACACCAGGTAGACCCAGTTTATTCAAAACTCTGCTTTTACCAGTTAATAGCTAAATATACTGTATCAGAGAAGAAAAATGTTTCCCTGCAATCTCAAGTTGGACCTATTATTAAAATTCACAGTTTACAAGTCAACTGGCCACATGTTGGTACAGTATCACCAAATCACATAATTTTTTTCAGTAGGGGAGGGGCTTAAAAATGCAGCTAACCTGCGGTTTTCATGTGGGTTAGCTGCGCTTTCTCATAGACTTCTGAGGTCCTGTGGTTTTGGTGCAGTTTCAGAAAGCCTATTAAAGATGCAGTATGCAGGAGTTTTGAGGCACTTTCTGAAAACCACACTAAAACCACAGATCCTCATGTACAGTTAGGTCCATATATATTTGGACACAGGCAAAATTTTAGTTTTTTTCAGGTATTTACCAAAACATATTCAAGCTATAGTTATATAATGGATATAGGCTGAAAGTGCACACTCTCAGGTTTAATTTGAGGGTATGCACATCCAATTGGAGGAAGGGTTTAGGAATTACATCTTTTAAGAGTAGCCCCCCCCCCCCCCTTTTTTTCAAGGGACAAAAAGTAATTGGACAAATGAATAAAATCATAAATAAAATGTTCAGTTTTAATATTTTGTTGAGAATCCTTTACTTACAATGACTGCCTGAAGTCTGTAACCCATGGAAATTACCAAAGACTGGGTTTCCTCTTTTCTGATGCTTTGCCAGGCTGTAACTGCAACTGTCTTCAGTTGTTCTTTGTGGGTCTTTCTGCCTTCAGCAAGTGAAATGCATGCTCAATTGGGTTGAGATCAGGCGATTGACTCGGCCATTGCAGAATATTACACTTCTTTTTCTTCAAAAGCTCCTGGGTTGCTTTTGCAGTGTGTTTTGGATCATTGTCCATCTGTGCTGTGAAGTACCGTCTAATCAACTTTGCTGCATTTGGCTGAATCTGGGCTGACAGCATATCTCTAAACACTGCAGAATTCATCCGGCTGCTTCTGTCACATCATCAACAAACATCAATGACCCAGTGCCACTGGAAGCCATGCATGTCCATGCCATCACACTGCCTCCACCATGTTTTACCGATGACGTTGTGTGCTTTGGATCATGAGCTGTTCAAAGCCCTCTCCACACTTTTTTCTTCCCGTCATTCTGGTACAGACTAATCTTCGTTTCATCCGTCCAAAGAATGCTTTTCCAGAACTGGCCTGGCTTGTTTAGATGTTTTTTGGGAAGGTCTAATCTAGCCTTTCTATTATTTAGGCTTATGAATGGTTTGCACCTTATGGTGAACCCTCTGTATTTGCTCTCGGGAAGACTTCTCTTGATTGTAGACTTTGCCAATGATACACCCACCTCCTAGAGAGTGTCCTTCACTTGTCTGAATGTTGTGAATGGGTTTTTCTTTACCATAGAGAGGATCCTACGATTATCCATCAGTGTTGTCTTCCCTGGACATCCATGCCTTTTTTATTTTGCCGAGCTCACCAGTGCGTTCTTCTTTCCGATGTACCACACTGTTGATTTGGCCACTCCTAATGTTGCTGCTATCTCTCTGATGGATTTGTTTCATTTTTGAAGCCTTACAATGGCCTGTTTCACTTGCATGGACAGCTCCTTTGAATGCGTGATGTAGGTTCACAGCAATAGATTCCAAATACAAATACCACACTTAGAATCAACTCCAGACCTTTACCTGCCTAATTGATGAAAAAATAATGGAGTAGCCCACATCTGGCCATGAAACATCTTTTGATTCAATTGTCCAATTACTTTTGGTTCCTTGAAAAAGGGGGGGGGGTGGCTACTCTTAAGAGCTGCAGTTCCCAAAGCTTTCTTCCAAATTAAACCTGAGAGTGTGCACTTTCATCCCATATCCATTATATAACTATAGCTTGAATATGTTTTGGTAAATACCTGAAAAAAACATAAAAATTATGCCTGTGTCCAAATATATATGGACCTAACTGTAAGTCTATGGGAAAGCACAGCTAACTTGCTTTAGCAAGTGTGAAATTTAGTCTAGTACTTTTTACCTTAACCACCTTCCGCCCGCCATATAGTACAATGACGGGCGCAAGGTGGTTCTCTCGTTCTGATAGGACGTCATATGACGCCCTACCATTCTCACTGCGCATGCACGGCTCAGGGAGCACGCAGCGCGGCGATCGCCGGTGTGCTGTGTTCCGCGGACACAGCGGATCACGGAAAGAGCCAAAGATGTCGGCTCGGTCATGTGATCAGCTGTGTCCAATCACAGCTGATCACATGTAAACACGGAAATGCCCGTTATCGGCATTTCTCTCCTCTTGAGCTGTCACGCTGACAGCTCGAGAGGTGAGGAGAGCCGGTAATCGGCTTTCCGCGGAGAGGACATGTACACTTTTCATCAGGGCACTGATGATCAGTGTGCCCTTATGATCAGTGTGGCCCCAGAAGTGCCACCTGTCAGTGTCCATCAGTGCCAGCAGTCAGCGCTCATCAGTGTCACGTGCCAGTGCCACATCAATGCCACATATCAGTGCCTACCAGTGCACATCCATGCCACATATCAGTGCCCATCTGAGCTGCCTTTCAATGTCACCCATCAGTGCCAGTCAGTGCCACCAATCAGTGCTGCCTGTCAGTGCCAGTCAGTGTCGCCTATCAGTGTGCATCAGTGCCGCCTATCAGTGCCAGCCAGTGCTGCCTAACAGTGCCAGTCAGTGCCGCCTAACAGTGCCAGTCAGTGCCGCCTAACAGTACCAGACAGTGCCAGTCAGTGCTGCCTATCAGTGCCATATATCAGTGTCATGTATCAGTGCTGCCTTTCAGTGCCCATCAGTGCAACCTACCAGTGCCTCCTCATCAGTGCCCATCAGTGCCACCTATCAATGCCCATCACTGCAGCCTCATTAGCGCACATCAGTGCAGGGGAAAAATCACTTATTTACAAAATTGTATAACAAAAACCAAGAAAAAAAAATTTTTTTTTTCAAAATTTTCAGTGGTTTTTGGTTTAAGAAAAAATAAAAATCCCAGAGGTGATTAAATACCACCAAAAGAAAGCTCTATCTGTCTCAAAAAAATGATAAAAATTTCATATGGGTTGCATGACCACGCAATTTTCATTCAAAGTGTGACAGCGCTGAAAGCTGGAAATTGGCCTGGGCAGGAAGGGGGTATAAGTGCCCTGTAGGCTAGTGGTTAAAGTAACAATAAAGGCTCAATTTTGGATTTTTTTTCTTTTTATAACAAAACATGACAGCATGTGTTTTTTCTTCTTTTTATATTTATGTTGAAATGGTTAAAGCGGAGTTCCACTAAAAAGTGGAAGCTCCACTTGTTTGCCTCCTCCTCCCCTCCACTGCCATATTTGGCACTTTTTGGAAGGGAGGGGTGAGCAAATACCTGTTTTTTGACAGGTACCTTCTCCCATTTCCGGCTCAGTTCGCCACGGCCAAGTGAGCCGGAAGTTCATTCCCCTTTTCCCTTCCACAGTGAAAGGTCCCAGGAGACTGCCAGACCAATTAGGAGGCACAGCGTGACTCACACATGCACAGTGGGCACCAGGCTGTGAAGCTGTCACAGCCTGGTGCCCACAGCTGAGATGCTTGCGCCATGGCAGAGAGAAGGGGAGAAGAGACGGCACGGGTGAGAACATTGCTGGACCCTGGGACAGGTAAGTGTGTGTTTATTAAAAGTCAGCAGCTGCTGATTTTTAATGAACACTAAAAAGGCTGGAACTCCGTTTCAAGTATCATAATGCAAGAATAATTGAGACATGAGTTGTGGATATGTCTTGATATTTTACCATTTAGAAAACGTAAAAAAGGCATAATTGCCCTCTCTGTGCAATGATTTTGCACAGACAAGCCCCGAATCTCCTCTTCTCAGGACCCTGCTGGCGCCCTTGGCCCCCCTCCCTTGCTGAGTGCCCCCAGTGCAGGCGGATTGCTCTGGGGGGTACTTGTGTGTGCTCACTTCTGAATCAGCCTTGTGTGTCCATAAGACTCTCCCTCCTCACTGGCTGTGATTGGCAGCAGTGGGAGTGGAGAGAGAGACCCATGAGAGCCCCTGCTCCCATGCACATTGCTGGATCGAGAGGGGGCTCGGTATTAGGGGAGCGGTGGGGGGGAGCAGCACACAGAAGGCTTTTACCTTCATTACAACCACTTTCTCTCTCTTGTGTAGCACAGTGGTGTGAACTGGCATGATCTAGAACAAGGCTATTTTTTGCTTTTTCTTGCCTGGCGCAGTCCCAAGTCACCTGGCATGAATGAACCAGAGTCTAAAACTATATTTCTATCTAAGAATATCCAATCTATTAGCAGGATCAGCAGGAAATAAATCTGTTACAGGTGGATCTTTGAAAAAGAATATACCAATGTGTAATGCTATTGACAAATTGCAGCAAGTGTCATTTCTCTTTTTCTCCCATTTTTACTTGAAAATAACCTCTTTGTGCATTGAACATATATCTAAAATCAATCATAAAAAGTTAGTTTTCTTTTAAAGGAATATTCCATTTCCATGACCCCTCACATTTTGACATTATTTCACTAATACGGAATTTATTTTGTACTTCTACACTTGCTGAAAAAAGAAGCAAGGGCCTAATTATAAAGGATTCACTGTGTAAATGTTTGCTGGACATTTATCCATCTGCATTTTATGGCATTCAGCTATCATTTCAATTTCATATCAAGAGGATTTGTCCTGTGATTAATGGGTGCATTTTGGTGGCTGAATTTTGTTTAAATTTAAAAGTGATGGGCAAATCTTGTTCATAATTGGAATCACTATTATGCTGTATGCGTATGCTGATAGGCAAATCTTGTTTGGTTTTAATTGTGACAGGTTAATCTTGTTTGTAAATGGAATTGCTCTCATATCGTCTATGCTGATGGGCAAATACTTGTTGAAAATGATAGCTGAATGCTGTATGAATGTCCAGCAAACATTCATCAGTAGACCCATAGTGTTCTGTATGAAAGCTGCATACTTTAAAGGCTAAGTTTACCTTCTGTAAATAATATAATAATAAACGCACATCTTTGTACTGGTTAAAAAAAAATGTGCATTTATTTATTTTTACACTGCAATCTGTAGGGCATTGCACCCGCAGTCAGCAGATCGTGAGTGCAAGTGCCAGGATCTTGCATACTCTCGGTCAGCTGTCTGCCCTTACCTTCACTATGGGCAGGCAGTTACTGAATGGAAAGAATAATCAATGAACTACGAGAGCACTCATCATCATCCACGTAATTGATTGAGAGCTACAGGCTGTCTGCCGCACTGGTTGACGGTAGTCGTAGTTCATGCATTGTTGTAGTTTTATATATATATATATATATATATATATATATATATATACACACAAACACACACACACACCTTTTGCTGTGACCCTACTTGTATGTTTGGGGTTCTTTGTAGGATGTTGTTCATTGCAGTGTTTGCATGCGATTATCTTTAGCCTTCCAGGGTTCTGTAGTTGAAGTTGTGCCTTACAGAAAAAGAAAATTGTTGCATTCACGAGCATATGAAAGTTCCTGACCTGACAGAAGTGAATAGATTTTAAATTGCACAAGCTGTTCTCTGGCAGCTGGGAAAAGTGGCTTCCCTTTGCTGTCACATTCTAAGCAGTTGGGTCTTGGGAGCTGCAAAGAGACACGGCTGTGGAGATTGCTGTGGATTGTAACAATACAAAAATACTGCTTTTGTTCAGATTTTCCTCTATGGAATGTGCTAATCCTCTAACAAAACATAAAGCTGATGAATATAAATAATTGCCGTGATTCTGCTAAGATTGCTGTAGGGACAGGTATATTTAAACTAAAGTGTATCTTTAGGCAAAGTTTGGGGGATTATTAAGTTTTCAAGGCAGCACAGTGGCTAAATGGTTAGCACTTCCGCCTGGCAGTACTAGGGGTCATTGGTTCAAATCCCAACCATGGCACCACCTGCCTGGAGTTTGCATGTTCTCCCTGTGCCTGCATGGGTTTCCTCCGGGTACTCTGGTTTGCTCCCACACTCCAACGTCATGCTGGTAGGTGAATTGGCTCCTGTCTAAATTGGCCCTAATATGTGTATGAATGTGAGTTAGGGACCTTAGATTGTACACCCCTTGCGGGTTAGGGACTGATGTGAATGTATAATATATATGTAAAAGTGCTGCATAAATTGACGGCGCTAAATAAGTACCTGTAATAAATAAATAAAGTCAATTAAACTCCTGGGATATTGATCTTGTCAGTTAAGTAGCAGAGAGGGTTGTTAATCAGTTTCTGCTGCTTTGGTGTTAATAAAATTAACAGGTGCACTAGATGAGCAACAATGAGATGACCCCCAAAACAGGAATGGTTTTTTAGGTGGAGGCCACTGACATTTTTTTCCCTACTCATCTTTTCTGACTTTTTTTCACTAGTTTTGCATTTGGCTAGGGTTTTTGTCGCTACTGGTAGCATGAGGCAATACCTGGACCCTACAGAGGTTGCACAGACAGTCCAACTCCTCCAGGATGGCACATTAACACGTGCCATTGCCAGAAGGTTTGCTGTGTCTCCCAGCACAGTCTCAAGAGCATGGAGGGGATTCCAAGAGACAGGCAGTTACTCTAGGAGAGCTGGACAGGGCCGTAGAAGAGCCTTAACCCATCAGCAGGACCAGTATCTGCTCCTTTGTGCAAGGAGGAACAGGATGAGCACTGCAAGAGCCCTAAAAATGACCTCCAGCAAGCCACTGGTGTGAATGTCTCTGACCAAACAATAAGAAACAGACTTCATGAGGGTGGCCTGAGGGCCTGACTTTCTCTAGTGGGCCCTGTGCTCATTGCTCAGCCCATAGAGCTCGATTAGCTTTGCTGTTGAACACCAGAATTGGCAAGTTCGCTACTGGTGCCTTTTGCATTTCACAGATGAGAGCAGGTTCACCCTGAGCACATGTGATGTGACAGATGTGAAAGGGTCTGGAGAAGCCATGGAGAACGTTATGTTACCTGTAACATCATTCAGCATGGCCGATTTGGTGGTGGGTAAGTGATGTCTGGAAAGGCATATCTATGGAGGGATGCACAGACCTCTACAGGCTAGACAATGGTACCCTGACTGCCAGTGGGTCCCGGGTTCCTCCTGGTGCACGACAATGCTCGGCCTCATGTGGTGAGAGTATTCAGGCAGTTCTGGGAGGATGAAGGAATTGATAGCATTGAATGGCCCCCATGCTCACCTGACCTAAATCCAATAGAACACCTCTAGAATATGTTTTGGTCCACCTAACACCGCAAGGTTGCACCTCAGACTGTTTCAGGAGCTCAGTAATGCCCTGGTCCAGATCTGGGAGAAAATAACCCAGGACACCCTCTGTCATCTCATTAGGAGCAGGCCCTGATGACAGGCATGTATACAGGCACTCGGGGGCCATACAAACTACTTAGTACCATTTTGAGTTGCTGCAATGAACTTTCAGCAAAATGGACTATCCTGCTGCATGATTTTTTCACTTTGATTTGCTGGGTGTCTTTGAATTCAGTCCTCTGTAGGTTGATAATTTTAATTTCCATCAAACAATAGGGCATCATTGCGTTCCTAATACATTACCCAGTCCATATCAGTATAGATATACAGCATGATATTTTCCCCATTGAGATCTGATGTGTTTTCAAAGTGTTCCTTTAATTTTTTTGATCAGTGTATGTGCCCTAGACTGTGCCGTGCTGTACCCTATACTAATACTCCTCTAGTGTGTGATAGCAACAGAAGCAGTCCTTGAGGCAGAGACCAAGTTGGCCAGGACAGGAGGGACAAAAAAAGAGGGTGTCAGGCCTAATTCTGTGTTTGCTACAGACACATTTTTTTTTGGGGGGGGGGGGACTTTTGGATTGGGGTACCAGGAATGGCATCAGAAAAATGCCTCATGCAGTCTCCTCACTGCATCTGGGTTGGGGGTTTGGGCCACAGCACTTTCTGGATACAAAAGGGCTGTGATGATCTCTTCCTGGAATTTTAGGAAGGATCCACTTCGCCCAGTTGCTTTGTAAAGCACAAAA